CTGTACAAGCTGTGCAGCAATTTCTTTGTCGGCTACATTCTGCAACTGTACGACCCTACCCCTACACGGTCTCGCTATAGAAACGGTTTAGCACCTGCCTCGGGTCGCTCACGCAGCTGCTTCGTATCGGCGAAAAATTGTTTTATCAGCCATGGTAGTCCATTTTTACTCGTTTTACAGTCCCAAAGTCGACTTGAACGATTAGGGTTATTTCCCGAGCGGTCACCACGGATGAGGTCCACGCCGCGCGCGAGCCATGGCCTTTTTACTTTGGCTACGACTATGCCGTTCTACTGAGGTACTACATTCCTGCTAACATGTACATATTGTCATGTACCTAGCGTCTTTACGATTGGGCTCCTGGGCTCGGTGCTGTCGCCGTACCTCGTGCCATGCGCGGCCGTCTTCTTCTTTGCCAAGTACTATGTCTCCAAGTACAATTTTGTATACGTGCATCCCACGACGCCGGGCCGCGGCAACGTTGCTCGCGCTGCGTACTCGCTCGCCCTCGTCTGCCTCCTCCTCTTTGAAGTAGATGATTTCACGGTGCATGATGGAGCCGCTCATGGTTTTCGTTAGCTGGCGATGACGAGCATTCTGTCGCAAGTCGGCAACGCCAACCAATGGCTGGCACTCGTGCTGTTGACGTGCGCCACACTCGGTGTCTTTGTCTACTGGTGCGAAACTGGACCAATCTTGTCCATATTGTGCACACGCAACTAGGCGCGTCGTGGTGTACCGCGCCCTCGAGACAGAGACGAGTCCGAGTCGAGTTGACGTGGAGGCGCCAACGACGCAGCTGCGGCGGCAGCAGTCGATGGAGCTCTCACGCGCGCTGTTTCACGCGCACAGCTTGAGCGAGATGGAAGCCCTCGTACACGCTCGCCCAACGCAAGCGTACATCAACCCGTACGACGTCGGCCTCCACATGCTCTCGGTGCTGCACCGGATCCAAGCACTGCGAACCGCCAAGCTGCGCGACGCCTTTAACCGGTTGAGGCAGCAGCCAGAGGGTTCGCCTTCGGTGGCAACGACGGCCGCGACAAATGATCTCTCCGAAAATCTACTGTCGTAAATACAAGCGCATCGTACTTTTGGCGGTCGCCATGGCGAGCACCTCGTTCAGTACATACGTTGTTGGTGAGGTCGTAGACAAGCACTCTCGTCGCCACGCTCAGGTCGCACTTCATTGAGCTTGTGCAGCGGCTCCATGCGCCCCACAATGGTCATGACCACACGCTTGCAGCTGCAAGCTGCGTTCGAGTCTACATAAGCAAGAAATGGAGCTTCGAGCCTCCACAACCCTAGCCCTTGCGAAAAGGACTCGACAATGCACAAAATTTGCATTTGTTTTACCGACTTCAAAGTCGTCAACACGTACTTTAGTAACATGTGATGCACGTATCGCTCGCTCCCAAACGAAGCGCTACGGCGAATGGAGCCACGCACCGTCTTCTGTCTCCTCGAGGCGAATGCCGGCGTGTGTCACCTGGAGGAGCAGTTCGCGGCTGCAGCGCACCTTGATCGAGACGTTGGTGCAGGTCGATAGGGCACAGGCGAGCGCTTGAATGCCTTGAAGACGGAAGGGATTGAACGTGAGATCGACTTGAGCGCGGTGGCGGACATGCGTCTCACGCAGCCGACGGACCATTATCTGGACATCCAGCGTGATGAGACTGCACGACGTAAAGCTAATGAAGCGACCCCCCGCGTGGAGGCTCCGCCATAGCGCTTGCGCGGCGCAGATCGGGTGGTCTTGGAAGTAGGTGCAGAACGGGAACGAGATCGAGTCGAGATGCGCCGACCGAGTGACCCAGTCGAGCAAGTGCGAGAGGCTTCTTGGCGTAAAGAGTACCCGATCAAAGGTCAACGTTCGAATCGTTGGCTGCACCGAGACCGGCATCGCGCCCACGTCCAAGAGGTGGACTCGGGCAAGGAGAAGTTCTTGGAGCGCTTCAAGCTGCGGCAGCGCGGTCGCAAGCCCAGTGACGGGACCCGGGTTATTCACCTTGATTGAGAGCGTAGTCATTGCAGGCAAACGGAGCAGAGGAAGGAGCAGGTCATGAGCGTGGGTGCCAACAATGTCAGACACGAATAGCTCCGTGACGCCGCAAAAGCGCGCTCCATTGGCCATGAGCGTACCCACGAGGCCTTCGCAATGATGCAACGAAAGACGCGCGAGGTGCGGGGAGCTCGTCAGCGCTTGTGCCAAGTCGATGTTTGTCGCGTCTCGAAGCATCTGGAGGGACAAGTGCCCGTTGCCAGCGGACGCAAGCCAGTGCGTTATGTGGTCGACGCCTTGCAGTGGGTGCCCTCTCAACGGCGGGCAGAGGCTGAGCGCACGAACTTGGCTGGCCGAGAGCGCAGCTTCAAGCAGCGCCGGTTGAAGCGGCAGGGATGCATGCTCGAGGCCCGAGCAAAGGCGCAGCAGGCAGCCCACGCGCCGTCCATGGCTGTCGCTAAGTCTCTCGTCCACGGTGATACTGGTCATCGAGGCAGCCCCGAGAGCGACAAATGCACACAGGCGCAAGCGTCTGTCGGCGCGTTGGACGAGCCAAACTACGCCTGTCGCCTCGGCCACGCGATCGATCTCGGCGACTGTCGCGACGTTGGGGGACAGGTGCCGGGTAAAGCTCGCCATGTAGGCATCGAGGATAGTGGCCGGTGGCGGCGGCGTCATGTTTGGCGGAATGACGACCGGCGACACAGCGTGAAGGAGAGCCACGACGTCATTGGGTGAGCGTGCGAACTGCGCTATAGCAGCGACGAGGTCCGGGATGTGGCTAGTCATTTCCCTTCTGACCTCGTTGACGTCACTGTCTTCGCCTACCGGTTACTCAAGCCGGATAATGGAAGAAAGATTTGACACGCTCCGCATGCACGAGAGGAGCTACTCTGACTCGAGTCGACGGGTCAAGCGCTGTGCGGGTCATCGCATGCTGTCGACTGCGTGGCAGCTGGGATGGTAGAGTATCAATTCTCGCGCCAGGGAAACTCGGTACCTTGATACTCTTTTGAAAGAATCCTGTGACACTTGATATTGATGCACGAATGATACCCTTTCAGAAATGATATTGAATTTGCACTTTGCCGTTGCCTTCGCAATAGTAGCCCCTCGGATCTTCAGAGGACCTTGCCATCGCATGTTGACGCGCATGGGCATGGTGAGGCTCCAAGACGCGCTCGGTCATCGAACCAAAGCCCGCTTTCATTCAAGGGTGAGCGACAGCCCTAAACATGTACCAACGTTAGTAGTGTTCATGGCTAAACTTAGCGCGGATGCGTGGTTCTGACAGTATATAGTTCGTATATTTGGCGCGCACCGGTTTCAAGCATGCTGCCCCGGCTACCGCAGCACGAGCCGACAAGCGTCGTGGCGGCGGCGAAGGGCTTTAAGCCTTCGCCACGCGGGACCCCACGCCGACGCGACCCGTCCCCGCGCCGGCCCGACCCGCGCCTCGAAGAGCCCGACGAATCGCACATGAGTTACATTCCGCGCGAGTACTATGTCATTGAGACCCACGCCGTGCCTACGTATAATCCGCAGCAGTTTGCGTCGTCGTTCAAAGTCGGGGCGAACGGCCACGGCCTCTGGGAAACCGTCGTGTTTCCTTCGCTCGAGCCCCACACGCGCCAAGAGGTTCTCTACCTGCAGCAAACACTGTCGGCGATGCAAGCCAACGCCGCCGCCGAGCTGTCGTCATCGTCGTCGGTACCGAACCGGGTCGCGGCCGAGTGGCACATTTACGCCATCGTCTTCCACGAGCTCCTTCGCCAAATGCGCTTTATCTGCAAAGAGCAAGCCACGCTCGTCACATACCTCGTCTCGCAAATGCAGTCGCTTTTCGTGCGCCTCCACGACCACGTCAAGATCCTCGAGGCGGCGTCGCTCTTGACGCCGCCGTCGACAACCACCATTTTGGTGACACCGCCCATGACACCGGCGCCGCCGCGCACCCCCAAGCCGCCCGTGCGTCGCGCTACCAAAGACCGTCGACGGCCACCGCCCGTGCCTGAGCAAGCCAGGTCGGTGCCTTTTGTATCAATCCTTCAATACTTCAATATGGCAACTATCGCATCTAGTTCCTGCCCGGATGTCAACTCGGACGGCGACTCGGACGACTCGGACGCAGAAGGGTTTGTGTGCTCGTTTTGCCACGAATACTCCAAAGACCCGGCGCGGGAAACGACGCGCCGGAGCACGCTCCTCAGTAGCATCACGATGCGTCATCTCGGCTCGTCGATCGAGCGCGACAACCGCAAGCTCCAAGCAATTCTCAAACTCCAAGCTGTTTTTCGCGGGTATCGCATTCGCCGCGAGAAGCGCATCGCCGACCGCGTCCGGCGCCGACACCAAGCCGCGAAGACGATCCAACGAGCGTTCCAGAGCTACGGGCAGCGGAAACAAGCGACGGCAAAAAAGAAGGCCCAAGATACGTGGCGAAAGCACCTGACAATGATCGTAGCCGTGCGGCAGCTCCAGAAACGCGTGCGCAAATTTCTTCAAGTGGGACGCGAATACCGCGAAGGGCAGCTGAGTTTAGTCGCAAACCGCTTCAAGCTCGCGGACCGGGACCTCGGCAAGGTGCTCAACGAGAAATGCACGCAGCTGGAGGCCGTCGCGAGTCGGCTCCAAGGCTTTCAGGTTCAGATTCAGCACATTGTGTCGTTGATCGTACCCGATGCACCCGCAGCGTCGTCGCTAGTGGTCGCCGATGTCGACCCCATCGTTCGCTGCGGCGACGTGCACTTGGCGCTTGTCGAGCTCCACCACCACGTGAGCGAGCTTCACGTGCGCGAACAGCGCGCCCAGCGCGAATGGGAGGCGACGCTCTTCCAGTTGCGCGAGGCCCAGCGGGCGTGGGACGAGGCCAAGCGCGCGAACGTCGGGTTCGGCAAGGACGACGACGACGAAGATACGATCGATGGCTGGGTCATCGGCGCACCGCGCACGAGCTCGTCGCTCGCTCGTCCGTCGTCGGTCGTCGGAAGTGCGGCGCCAGACGCGCCCGAGCCCGAGCACCACAGTGGCAACAGTCTCGCGCAAGAGCTCTTCGCAACAATGAAGCCGCTGCGGTATGGCAAGAAGTGGCTGGCGCAAACCCATCTCAAGCGCGGACCGACCGCCGAGTCGCCTGTCGCAACGACCGAGAAGAGCGCGCTTCTGGACGAGGCGGTCACGGAGCGCAGTGCGTCGATCGCGTCGGTGCCGCGCTCATTGACGACCGAAGGCCATCGCGGTGCCGTGCTTATGCACCGCTTCCGGTCCACGCAGAGTCTCGACCGCCCACGACGGCCCCTCGGCTGGGTCAAGCAGCTGCTCGTCCACATTTACGAGACGATTGCGCTCGCACTGCGCGAAGAGCGGCAGACGTGGCCGCCAGAGGTCGCCGCCGCGCTCGCCCATCAATTCGACTTGTCGCTGACGCTACCCGAGGCGCAGGCCATTGCGTCGGCCGTGCGCTACCTCAGCAGCGCCAAGGCCGCCACAAGCTTGCCGGACATCATTTGTCAGCACTTTCAAGCCCAGTTCGGGCTACCGCAGCTCGTGGACCAAGCCATCTACGACCTCGCCACGCACATCCACGAGTACGCCCAGCGCGACCTCGACGTGCACCTGTTTCAGCACTTTTTGAACGGCACGCGGTCCCGTGCCAACCTCGCGTTCTTCTCGTACGTTCGCCAGCTCTGCGCCGCGCTCAGCCGCGACGATGCTTCGTCGAGCCCGCTCCTGCCGTACTTGGACGCGCATTCGAGCCGCGAGGTACGTCGGCACCCTACCCCTACCATGGTGCAAACTCGAAATTCGTAGCTCATTGATGTCGCGCATGCACTCAAGGTAGCGCAGATCTTATTGCGCGTTCGGGACGAGAGTGCCCTCTTGGAAGCCGACCCGCTCGTGGACCTCAACGGGCGAACGCCGTCGGCGCTCTTTGAGCAGTGCCGGGCAGCGATCGAAGCCAAGGCGCACCAAGTCGAGAAGGAAGACGACGAAGACGACGACACCACCAACGACGAGATGATGGAAAAGCCACGGCACGCGTTCAATGCCCTCTTGCAGCCGCTCAAGTTTCACTCGCACCTCCCGGCGAGTCGGAGTCCGGTGCGGAGCCGCGTGCAGACGCATCTACCGTCGTCGTCGTCGCCGGTGTTGTACTTTGCAGACTTTTTCGATATTTTGTGCAAATTCCACGCCGAAGTGCACGTGCACGCGACGCAGCGCGAGTGGCTGCAGCAGACCTTTGACACGATCGACGGCGACCACGACGGCAGCATTCACATCGAGGCGTTTGTGAGTCACCTCTCGGCGCTGCCCAAAGCGCCGACGCCCCGTGAGCTCCACCAGATTTACCGCCACGCACTGCAAGTGCCATTGGACCGCACCAAAGTGCCGACGGCGCGGGTCGGCCCGATGGGGTTTCGCACTTTCTTTGGTATCGTGCAGCGGCTGCTCGTCACCAAGCAGCTGCGCCCGTCGACGCTTCATGGCGGTATCAATGACGTCGACGACGACGATCCGACGATCGCCCACGACAAGATGAAGCTGCAGACGATCATGCACCGCCTCACGCTCGACTGGCTCGAGAAGGAGCCGGTCGTCGAAGCCGCGCTGGCCCACGATGCGGGCCGGCATTTGGGCCCACGCCTGCGACAGCTGTGCGTCGAGCTCACGCAGGCGCTGTGCCTCAAGCCCTCGACCGACGCCATCGAGACGCGCCTCGAGCAAATGCACACGGCGTGGGAGCGCTATTGCGCGATTGTGTGCGTCGTCATGGTCCTCGAGATCAAGCGCGCGGGCGGCGTCGGCGTCGTGGAAGCGCAGCTTAGCGACGTCGATAGGGTCTGGAATGTCTGCTTTGGCAAGCCGTCCACAGACCCGTTGCAGCCCGTCTAAGACACTAGAAATCGTCATGGCTAGTCGACGTTGTCTCGGCGTTGAAGTTGGAAGACACGCGCACGAGGTGGGCCGCTGCATCAGATGGGGCGAATCTCGTCGTATCTTGGTCGTTGTCGGGGCACGGTGCCAAGCTACTCGGTGCGCCGATCGGGTCCGTGCTCTAGCCGTCCTCGCATCCACGACAAAACTGTACATCGACTAGAATTGGCTTACCAACTAACTAATGAACGTCGGGATACGTCTCTCGGTTGTCGATGAAACGAGGCAGTTGCGATCTTCGTCGGTCGCAAATTTTGCGCGCTGTTAGTGACACGCCATGTTTATTTCCCGGTCACCCCACGCTTGTGATTGGTTGAAAGGAACGTTCCTGATACCATTTTGGCCAATGGCATCGCCGAACGCTTCAACCAGCCCATCTATTTCCTGTTCGACGCCATCCTCCATCACCCGGCGGAGCGGGCCGACGCCATCCTCCCATGCTGGATCTTCTCTCGCCCGTCAACAGCGCGGAAGGGCGACCGCTCCTCTTCCGCACCGCAAGGTACCTTCCAATGCGAATACGCTCTTATCTCATGGCCACACGTAGCTTTGGCGATATCTCGGGCAACACAACCGGCTCGGCGAGCACGCCGTCCGTGGACGCGCCATTTAGCAGCTCGCGGGGCCTGCGCGAGCACCTGCGCCGTAACTCGGAGAGCAGCTTGAGCTACGGCGAGTCGCCGCGCGACCTTTTTACCGAGCCGGGTCGCGTGCACCAGCTACGAAAGGCGCGGTGCGCGCTCGTGTTTGCACTCTCGCTCTCGGCGGTGGGCGTCGTATGGATGCTCACCATGCTCTTTGTACTCACGGACTTGGACACGGACGAGTACATCTTCTCGGGCGCAGTTGTCTCGTTCCTCTTTTGCTCGGCGATTCTGTGGAGTTACTCGGGCTGCCACCGGCTGCAGAAGTACCCCAACCAGCTGATTGTCCACAAGTCGTACGTCGTTGCCGCGTATGTATATGTACAAGTACCTTTGTGTAGCGCGCTCGACTGGCTCCTCGCGCTCGCCTACATGCTGCAGTACCTCGTGACGCTGCCGATGCTGGCTCAAACCGTGCATTTGCCCGCCGCAACGCCCGCGATGACCCAAGGTGTGTGCACACTATTGTCCTAGCTCTGTGGACAAGAAGCGTCTGCGACTAGCCTTGCTGCTCGCAGCGGAATTCTGGTCGTGCGCCATGAGCTTGGACTTGTACCAGTCGATTTCCAACCCATTTACCTCGTTTTCGTACAACTTGAACGTGTACCGGGTCACGTCGTGTGTGCTTGGCGCGATCTCGGGGCTAGTCTTTTACGAGCTCGAAGTCGTGCCGGGGCACTGCGCGCTCAACCGGGGCACACGCTACTACTGGTATCACCACGGCGACCCGTCGCTCTCGCTGCGCGACTTTGTTTTGAAAGAGTGGACGTACTACTACCTCTGGGTCGTCCTCTTCATGCTCATCTCGCTCGGCACGTTGCTCTACGTCAACCAGTAGTCTCTCTTCAGTAGGACGTGACTTGACACTGGCGACGTAGGCGGCTACGGCGCGGCCTGGAAGAAACCTTCGAGACGCGCAAGAAGGTGCTCGTGCATGGCCTCATCGCGAGCGGCACGTACGTCTCGTGGTCGACGTGGGTCATCTTCCTCTTCTCGATCGGGTCGCTCGTGCTCCCACTGCACTCGTACCCTTCCACCACGATTGACAATGGCATGACAGTCGTCGTATGTAGGCTCCTTGCAGCCAAGCACCTCGCCGGCATCTTGAACCTCAGCGCCTTTACGCACGGCGCCCGCGGCTGCGTCAACGTGCTCGTCTGGGCGTGCACCAATGCGTCGGACGTGTGGAACGTGCTCTTCTTTGCGCGTCGGGCGCGGTCGCTCTCGGACGACTGGCTGCTCGAGAACCCGGATGAGAGCCTCAAGCCGCAGCTCAACCTCGCGCTGCGCAAGCAAGTGATCCAAATGGCGACGCGCGGGATCGTCGACGCGATCGAGCACTACCAGCTTTTGCACCAGAGCATTCGAACAACGCAGTCGTTCCACCTCGACTGGGACCTCCGGCAGCGCGCCAAGTCGTCCATGTCGGCCTCGCTCTCATCGGCGCGCCGGGTGGGCATCGAAGAGATGCAATTCTATGACTTTCAGCCGCGGATCTTTGCGACGATTCGGTCGCTCATGGGGCTCAATGAAGACGAGTACCTCCGGAGCTTCCGACACACGGCCAACGAGCGGCTCTCAGAAGGCCGGAGCGGCGCATTTGTCTTCAACACGATCAACCGCAAGTACTTGGTGAAATCGATGACGGAAGACGAGCGCGATTTCCTCATCTCGATCTTACCAGCGTACCTCCAGTACCTCAAGTGGAACCCGTCGACGCTCCTTCCTCGGTTCTACGGCCTTCATGCGATGAAGATGTACGGCAAGACGTTCTTCTTTGTCGTCATGGCCAACATCTTCCCGACGCGCGAGGTCATCCACCGCCGGTACGACGTCAAGGGCAGCTGGGTCGACCGCAACGCGCCGGTGTGCGTCCTGGGCGACAAGTACCAATGTGCCAACTGCAACCGATATTTCGTGTTTGGCGATTTGGAAGAGTGCCCGAGCGTCGTCGGTGAGCACTACCCGGACATTACCTTGCGCGACAACGACCTCAAGAAGCGCATCAAGCTGCCACGAGGTAGCTTGAGTCGTCTGCAGGGCGGTCGTCTCATGGCCGTATGTAGAGGCTTCGCATGCGCTGCTCAAGCAAATTGCCCGGGACAGCGACTTTCTCTGCGGCATGGTATGACGTCGCTTTTGGTCGACGAGATGCAGGACAATTTTGCTGCGTGGTGTAGGGTATCATGGACTACTCGCTGCTCATTGGCATGCACTACAGTCAATTCCGCATCTCGCGCGCGGAGAAGAAGACGTCGACTTCGCTGCGCAAGGAGGTGCTGCAAAAGGACTTGGCCGAGCGCGTCGACGCCATGAGCCCGAGCATGACCAACCCCGTGCTGCGAGTGAGCCACAACGCGTCACCAAAACTGTCGTGGCGGACGCGGCACGACTCGGCGTCGTCATCGTCGTACTCCAAGACACACGGCGACTCGATGGCTCTGGACGACGATGACGACGGCAACTGCGCAGGGCGGATCCATGCGCACTGCGTCTCGGGGCCGAGTGCCTACTACATTGGCATCATTGACGTGCTGCAGACGTGGACGTTTGAGAAGCAGATGGAGCGCCTCTACAAGGTCCATGTCCTTCGAAAGGACCCGCGGGGCATCTCGGCCGTGCACCCCAAGCAGTACGCCAAGCGCTTCCAGATGAAGATGTGCCAGCTCCTGTACCAACCCGGCGACGACGACAACCCGGCGTCGTCCTTGTGATTCTTATTAACCTATATACGAGTGTACCTTTTGCATAGAGGAAGGACTCGAACCACGACAGGTCCCAAAGCTCAGACACATGCTCTTCTGGCCGAGGTGCGACCTACTACGTGTGGGCGTATGTGCTGCCGATGAGTCATGGCCACGTTGCACAAAGGTGGGGTACATTGGTATTTGAGACAGATGCACTCTGGTGGACCGTTGATACGTGCGCTACTCGCCATCCTCATCCTTGTCTCGTGCATTCGACATGCTTGGGTTTGGCGCACCATGCATTGTTGCCTTTGCTCGTGACCATTGTGCTCGTGGCGACTACCTCCACCATGCTCTTGGCATCTCGTCATGGCTCGTTGGCCGAGGCATGGCAGGCCACTCAATGCGCAAGAAGCGTGTTTGCATCCTTCTGCAATGCGTTGAAGCTTCACGTGGCAGCTGCGCAATGGCTGTAGTACCTCTGTAGGAGCCTGGCGTGATGCCCGCCACACGTTCCTGCCGTACTACCCATGCGACGAGTCCTTGCAAGCAGACTGTCGTGCTGGATCCAAGCAAGACGTCATGGTGGGCCCGACAAGGGTAGGCTGGCGGCTTCTAGCACCTATGCGTACGCTGTCTTCGCCCTCGTAAGTCCATTTGACATCGATGGAGCGACGGCGCCGATGCGTAGCGGCCATGCTGCGCGGCGACGACCGGCGGAGGAGCGAGCGGCGCTGGAAGCTTCGTTTTCCACCGAAATGACGCAATAAGATGTCGCGGGGTGTATCATGTATGGGAGGTTTGGAGAAAATGACTTGGCTTCAGTATGGAGGCGCATCGAGGGTTGCAAAAGGAGTTTGAGATTTCCAGTCAACCAGGCAGAGCAGCAGCATGGACCTCGTGGTGGATGGTACGCGCACGTCCGGCAAGGACGTCCGTGAGCAGAACGTGACCGCGGCCTTGGCCATCGCCAACATCGTCAAGTCGTCCTTGGGTCCCGTCGGCCTCGACAAGATGCTTGTAGGCCAAAGCCTCCTCCGCCACCGCTTTCTCATGGTGGATGTAGGTCGATGACATTGGCGACGTGACGATCACGAACGATGGTGCGACGATTCTCAAGCTCCTTGAAGTCGAACACCCGGCCGGGAAGGTCCTTGTCGAGCTTGCGGGTCTCCAGGACCAGGAAGTCGGCGATGGCACGACGTCGGTCGTCATTATCGCCGCCGAGCTCCTCAAGCGCGCGAACGAGCTTGTCCAGAACAAGATCCACCCGACGTCGATCATTTCAGGCTACCGCTTGGCGATGCGCGAGGCCGTCAAGTACATCAAGGAGAACCTGAGCGTGCCCGTCGACTCGATCGGCCGCGAGTCGCTCGTGAACGCGGCCAAAACCTCGATGAGCTCCAAGATCATTGGCCCCGAGAGCGAGTTCTTTGCCAACCTCGTCGTCGACGCCGTCACGTCGGTCAAGACGACCGAAGAGGGCGCGAAGGGCAAGATCGTGACCAAGTACCCGGTCAGCGCCATCAACGTGCTCAAGGCTCACGGCAAGAGCGCGCTCGAGTCGCAGCTGGTCGACGGCTTTGCGCTCAACTGCACGCGCGCGTCGCAGGCGATGCCCAACACGATCAAGGGCGCCAAGATTGCGCTCCTCGATTTCGACCTGCAGCGCCACAAGATGCAGATGGGCGTGCAGATGGTGGTGACGGACCCGAAGGAGGTCGACCAGATCCGCCAGCGCGAGTACGACATCACGAAGGAGCGCATCCAGAAGATCCTCGACGCCGGCGCCAACGTCATTCTGACGACCAAGGGCATTGACGATCTCTGCATGAAGTACTTCGTCGAGGCCGGCTGCATGGGCGTGCGCCGCTGCAAGAAGGAAGACCTTCGCCGCATCGCCAAGGCCACGGGCGGCCAGGTGGTCCTCACGCTTGCCGACATGGAGGGCGAAGAGACGTACGATGCGTCGTGCCTCGGCCACGCCGCCGAAGTCTCGGAGGAGCGCGTCGGTGACGGTGAGCTCATCTACATCAAGGGCTGCGCCACGCGCCGTGCGACGACGGTCGTCCTGCGTGGCGCCAACGAGATGGCGCTCGATGAGATCGACCGGTCGCTCCATGATTCGCTCATGGTCGTCAAGCGCATGCTCGAGTCCAACCAGCTCGTGGCCGGCGGCGGCGCCGTCGAGGCTGCGCTGAGCATCTACCTCGAGAACTTTGCGACGACGTTGGGCTCGCGCGAGCAGCTCGCGATTGCCGAGTTTGCCGACGCACTCCTCGTCATCCCCAAGACGCTGGCTGTGAACGCGGCCAAGGACGCGTCCGAGCTCGTCGCGCGCCTCCGCGCCCACCACAACACGAGCCAGGTGGACCCGACGAAGAAGGCGCTGCGCTTCACGGGCCTCGACCTGCTGCAGGGCAAGGTCCGGGACAACCTCGAGGCCGGCGTCGTTGAGCCTGCGATCTCCAAGATCAAGAGCCTCCGGTTCGCGACCGAAGCCGCCATCACGATTTTGCGCATTGACGACATGATCCGACTGAACCCCAAGGACGACCAGGGCCAGTAAATATATTACTGCCTCCGTTTTGTCCGACTAATAGCACACAATACAAGAATCAGATATGTAGTAGGTTTACGAATATTGTCTGTTTTTCGTTTACAAGTATCAACGTATCAAGATGTCAAGGCTCGTCCGCCGGCGGCGCGGCCGTGCGGTCGGCGTGGAGCTGGATGGCGGCGATACGCTCGTCGTCCGTGATGGCGATGCCATCGAGCTTGCTCAGTTTGGGCAAGAGCAAGACCAAGTCCAGTCGATAGTGCTCGACTTCGGTCACCGCGTTGCCTAGTCCATTTGACTAAACCACGGCCAACCGAATGGAGAAACGAACCGGTAAGGTCAATGTCTTGGAGCTTGGTCAAGGCGCCGAGCGCCGCGAGGTCGGTCAGCGTCGTCATCTGTGGACTGTGAGCACCACAGCATGCCCGGATCCGTACGTTGTTGAGTTCGGCCTTGAAGCTGGTGAGGTTCGGGAACGCGCCCAGTCCGTTCAAGTTGGCCAGTTGGTTCTCGCTCTACCAGTGTGCCACGTCATTGCTTGTAGCAACTTGAATGAACGACTACGATGATCAACGACTCGAGGGACACGAGCTCGGGCGGTGTCGCCAACTCGGCGATCGCGTTCTGCGAGATCTCAAGCGCTTGGAGCGCGGGGAAATCGCCGAGCCCCGTGAGCGACGTGATCGCGTTACCTGGCAGCGACAGCCGTTCACCCTCACGATGAGCTTCGGAGGTCGTACCGTTGACCTTGAGCGACTCGAGGCTCTTGCTCTCGCCGCCGGTGAGGGCCGTGAGCTGGTTCTTGGACATATCCAGCGCCTAGTAGAAGAACTTGCAACGAGGAGATGCTGGCGGCGGGGGGACCTTGAGGTGTGCGTTCTTGAGCTTGGGAAGGGCGCTAAAGCTGTTCTCGGCGAGGTTGAGCTGGACGAGGTACTCGAGCGCCGTCACGGGCGACGCGTCCGAGAGCTTGTTGCGGGCGACGTTGACGAACCGGAGGTGTCGAAAGTCCTTGATCTGGTCCAAGCTCGTGAGCTCCTTGTCCTATGATCGCGTGAGCTCACGCAGGACGACCCTGGCGAGACGTTGATGTCGACGGCGGTGAAGGCAAAGCCCGCATTGTCGGTAGTCCGATCGATGCGCGAGAGCGACTCGGAGAAGAGCTTGAACATGGGTGGCGGCCCGTCGTCTTCGGGCGACGCTGCCTGGGGCGCGTCGGCTTGCTGCGGGTCGTCGTCGCTCATACTCGGTCGAAATCGAAGAATAAATAGGTCGCGTTTAGGTTACAGCCTTGCGCTTCTTGTTCTGGACAGCGTCGCCAATGGCCGCAAGCCGACGAGAGAGCGTCGAGCAGTCCATGTAGTCGGCTTTGGTCGGTGCGAGCTGGAAGAGAATCGCATCGAGCTTACGGGCGAGCGAGGGCAGTTTCTGTAGCACAGGCGCGGGTGCATCGGGACGAAACTTGCGCAGCAGCCGCACCAGATGGGCCTCCACGGTCAAGCGTTCGTCAGGTCGCACGTCCGTGAGGCTCCCGGCGGGGGCGAGCGTCACGGCGGCAAAGATCCGGCTAAGGCTCGCCAGGTCGAGCGCGTGGTCGCCGACCATGGCCGTGTACGAGCGCTTGAGCGTCAACGTCGCTGGCGAGTCCATGCAGCGACCATTGACCATCGCGCTGGTCGTGGCCATCGTCGTTGACGTCGTCGTCGTCGTTGTCGTCGGGCCTGTCCATGGCGGCGCCAGCATCGTGCCAAGTGAAACTGAGCTGCGGTCGTGATTTTTTTAAAGATCAAAGTAATAAAATTACAATAAAAATAATAATAAATTAAACTAATAAAATCATAAAAATCCAAATGGACAAGTCATCCGGCGAGGTGACGCGTCTTTTTGTATCAACTTGCTTTTTGTATATGCAACAGAATGTGCACCGTCCGCCACGACCGTGCGCACGCGAGATTGCAGAGAGATCCACCGCGCGTCACCGCTCGTTTAGTTAGTCGACGCGCTCGATCGAGTCGCTTCCTAGTCGATCGAGTCGCTTCCTAGTCGATCGAGTCGCTTCCTAGTCGATCGCGTTGCTTCCTAGTCGATCAAGTCGCTTCCTCGTCGCTACCTAGGGAAAGGCGGGCCGCTTGCAGAGCGGGCACGCATTGCTGCCCTTCTCGAACCACTTGTCAATGCAGCTCCGGTGGTAGATGTGCGTGCACGGAAGGAGCTAAGTCGACAAGCTACTTGAGGCCAGCGTCCGTTCCGAACAGAACACCAAGTACCTTGATTTGGTCGCAGGGTCCAAACTGGTCCAGGCAGATCGCGCAGGAGGCGGCTTCGCCCGACGTTGCCATCATCTATGGCAGCGTACCATGAGGAGGTCGTCGCTGTCTTGTGTATACAAGGTCCAAGTGCTGGCTGTAGGAGACGTGGCGCCACGGACCAAGCAAAACTAGATATGCACGATCACTGATAGACAAAGAGGAGATAAAAGCGTACAGATGCGCCGCGCGACGGCCACGGACCAGTTGAGGAGCAGTGCATAGAGGCTACTATTTACACACATGAGGAAATGCAATAATTGTTCTCGACGTCGACCGGATCAAAGCACAGTACCTCACGAGAACATAGGCAAACGATATCGCGTAGACGTAGCCCATGTAAGGCAGCATGGCCTGGCCAAAGTCGAGCGCCGCGTGGACAAGCCGGACGTGCTCGGCGCTGAGGTCCCAGCGCTCGAGGAATTGTGTGATCGTATAGACTACCCGTCGCTCCGTAGCCGCCAGCGCCATCGGTAATCTCGTACCTTCGCCCGTGCCATTGAGCGAGACGACGACCGCGCTTGCGCGCACATGCGCGGCGAGTTCGCGGCCCGTGGCGTGCGACACAAAGACGGCGGGAATCGCAATGTCTTGCGTCGCGTCGTGGTCGTCACTGTGCATCCGAACCTCCCACCTATCATGTCGCAACTATGACGTGGCAGCACGAGCGCGAAGCGAAACGCACGCGTCCCGGTCGACATCGTCCATGACAATAAGACCCGACGCGTTGGCGCGTTGTGCGAGGTACGCTTTCGTGAGGAAGCGGCACTTGCCGCGCAGCGCGAGGAGGAACTTCCCGGTTGCGTTGAGCTGCCGATTGATCGGCGAGCACAAGTCGAGTGGCGACGCTGCAGCGTCATTGACATCGTGCTGCAGAGAGATATAGATCGCGTCGTACCAAGGAGAAGCTCATGCTGCTGGAGAGCATGGCGTGCGCCAAAGTCGGCCGGACTAGCACCCGATCAGACTCGTCCGCTCCCACGAAAGAATGGCGATAGCACGTACATGTGCACCTTCTCGGAACAGCACGGGCTATCCATCGACATAGTCCGATCAGAACACATCCTGTAGCTGCTGACCACGCGTTCGATGCTCGTGTTACAGCGTGCAACGTACGCTTCGAGAACCAGAGCACAGAACGGCTTGGCGCACGCGAGAAGAAGGGCAACGCAGCTGCGCATTGATGGATGTCAACGAGCGCGTCGCGACCGCAGTTTCACTTCATATTCATAGCTCCCCTAAAATACACTTGGTACAGTGCGAGGGGCCATCTTGCTGTGGGGTATCTTGTCTCCATAGTGTGTGTGGCGGCGGATGATGCTCTTGGTTTGTCACACGAGGGGTTCTTCGTGTTGGACAAGACTTGTACTAAGATGTATGGTGGTGGTTGCTACTCGGTGTCGCAGTCTATGCCAGTGTCCTCGAGAGTGGTCGTGCTCTAGGTGTTGTTGAGAGTGTCAGTGCAGCGATCGGCGATCGGTCGTGAGTAGCACCACCGGCCTATCAACTTTAGATGGTGGAAAGGGCGGTGTCTCGGGCTTGCGCTCGGCTACACTAGCGACGCAACGTGCGATACAGTATAGTACTCGTCGAGATATTTGGCGGCGACCTTCACTAAGCGCGATGGATGATGCATGTAGCTGCTACCTTCAAGGATGTCCCGTGGGCGCGATCTTCGGCCGGCCGGCCTGTCGCGCGAGCCAATGGCATCGCGCCATTTTCCGACCTACAGCTTTTTGCGCGTGCTGATTGGCCAGCGTCGAATTCGTCGCTGAATATAAAAATCAAACCGAGCAAGAAAAAGACGTTGAATATTCAAAAATAGATATTGAGCGCACTCTACTGCGCGAGCTCATTCCGCCGGAACCCGAGACAAGAAGAAGATGGCTCGGACGTCGGCGATCAGCGACGAGGTCTGGGCGAACGCGATCCGCGCCGTCATGGTCGACAAGATGAGCCTGCGCACGGCGGCGCAGAAGTTCGGTGTCCACCACATGTCGCTCCACCGGCGGATAAAGGACCTGCGCGGCGACGCCAAGCCCGAGAAGGCCAAGCCTGCGCCGACGACGACTGCGTACCTGCCGCAGGGCGGGAGCATGCTCAACATGATGAACATGGCCTACCACCCGAGCATGGCCGCGTCGGCCGACCCGCGAAGCCTCATGAAGCCGCCGTCCTACGGCGCGCCGCCGCCCATGCGTCCAGTGGGCCACTTGCCACCCGGTGGCGGCGGACCGCCCATGATGCTCGGCCCGATGCCCGGCTACCAGGACATGCCGCTGCCCAACATGAAGGCGTCGCCGAAGCGCAACAGCCCCGTGCAGCAAGCGGCCAACTGGTCCAAAGCGCTCCAGGCCGTCGAGACTGGCCACTTCAACGTCATGCAAGCAGCGAGCGCCTTTGCGCTCGACCCGTCCTCGCTGCACGAGCACATCAAGAAGCGGTCCGACGACATGGTACGTCGTCGCCGTCGTTGTCTCAACGGTCGCTCACTTACCGCGCTTGTAGGCGGGCATGAACCCGGCCGACTATTTGAACCTGCTCGACGAGTTTGGCGTCGTCAAGGTGCTGGTCGCGCGCGCCGAGCTCGGCGTGCTCATGTCGTTTGAGGAGCTCGCCGAGCTCCTCCAGCGCACGATGTTCAAGACGGGCCAGGCGTGCCACGGTGCGGAATTACGGGGATCCCACATCCTGGCTACTCGCTCTACAGTACAAAAGGGCTGGTGCGATATTCGTGTAGGCGACGCACTCCAAAAGCTCTTGTTTGCGTTCGAGATGCGCAACGAGCACATCATGCGCACGTCGATCGCCAACTACAACTTGCGGTCGCCGCGCCAGCGCATGCCATCGATGCGGCCGCAAGACATGCTGCACCTCTCGCAGCAGCAGCAACACCAGCAGCCGCAGCAACACCAGCAGCCGCAGCAACACCAGCAGCCGCAGCAACACCAGCAACACCAGCAGTCGCAGCAACACCAACAGCCGCCGACCCACCACCACCAGCACGCTTCGCCGTACGCGACGCATCATTCGGCGCACCACCAGTTGCATTCGTCGCACCAACAACAACAGCAGCAGCAGCAACAACAACAGCAGCAGCAGCAACAACAACAGCAGCATAGTCAGCTGCATACGATGGGGCGGTCGCCGCCGCAGCACTCGATGTTGTCGCCGTATCAGATGCAGCAGCGATCGGACCCGCAGGTGCGAGGCGCCTTCACGGGCACAGAGGTGCGGAATGTCGCTTGTTGCGTAGGAAGGCGATGTGTTCTTGCGCCCGGACGGTCGAAGCAGCGGGTACGCGCTCCCAGAGGCGAGGCAGCAGGACGTCAAGCCGCGCCAACTCACATCGACCGCCGCCGCCGATCTCAAGCGAGACGACGCGCGCCAGTATGCGCCATCTGCGAACCTGCTGATCGCCTCCAACAAGATCAACGTGCGCAGCCCGCCAATCGAGCAGGAGCCGACGCAGCAGCCACCCGGCAAGAAGCGCAAGGCGTCGGGCGGCGAGTCGCCAGGGTAAGCAAAAGGCTCAATGAAGAAGCATGCGTCTCAAGCGTACGAGTTGGTAGGACGACGAGCTCGATCGAAGAAAACTCGAACGAGAACAGCAACCGCGCGCCAAAGACGCTGGATGTCGTCGAGATCTAACGACGCGATGGCGACGACGACGTCGTATGGACGTATATGCAGCACGCACGGGGATGATGCCCCACCCCAACCCACGAAGAAGACGAGCCCGCCTGTAATGTATAGATAGACCAAGATAATAATGATGAAGATGGCTTGCAACACGAGACGGATCATCGATCGAGCGACAGGAGGCGCGCGGCCTCGGCCAGCGACAGCGTCACGTCGACGTACTCGACGTCGCTCAGCTTGACGACCGCGCGCGGGTACGTGCCCAATGGCGTGTGGAGGTCCGTGAGCCCGACCAAGCTTTGGCGGCCGTTCACGCCGCCGATCGTACCCTCGAGGATCGCGCGGCTAGCATGGCCCATGAAGACGAGTATGCATGGGCGGAAGCGCTACCTCTGGTTGAGCGTGACCTGCGCGGGCTTGGCGACGATCGCGTCAAAGTACCGGAGGCTGGCGTACCGATGGCGTTCGGAGTCCATCACGGAACGAATATATCCCACCGTGTAAAACACAAGCATGAGCTTGCTCTTTGTAAGAGAGTAAAACGTGAATATTGTGTGGAACGTGTGCATGGTGGGTTTTAGCTGGCCAATCGCAAAACAGACATGCTGCAGCGCCTCGATCTCGCAGCCGACGCCGAGGCCCGCTTGCAGGAGCTACTGGCACCGACGCTTGGCTTGCCGTCGACGCAGGACCAGTTCCGCACGGGGCGCCGGACGCTCAAGAAGATCGAGAAGGCCTACGATACCTTGTCCGCGCTTGACGTGCCCTTCGCGCTCATTGAAGAAGGGCTCGCGCATGCCAACGACGCCGCCGGCGCGCTCCGCTACATCTGCTTGTACCACTCGAGCGGCGACCTGCCATCGCGCTTTCGCGCCAATGTGCCCAAGCCGCCGGCCGACGAAGTGGCCTTGGAGGTCGTCGCGGCGCAGCCACGACCCTTGGACCTGGAAGCGCCACGGCCACCGATCGCGACGCCGGTCGTCGCTGCGCCCATCGTCGACGCAGCGAGCCTCGCCGCGACAGAGGTATGCGTGTATCATAAACGTCTCTGCTAAGTATGGATAACAGGCCAAGGAGCACGCGGACCGAGCGAAAGAGTGGACGCGCCGGTACATGGAGCTGCAAGCGCAGGCCAACAGCGACGATGAGGATGACGATGACGAGAGCCAGCTGTCGCCCGAGGCGCGCATGTGGAAGCTTGAAGTGGCCTGCGCAAAAAGCGTCGTCGAGGCGCAGCGCGCCAAGCGCGACGGCGGCGATGCCAAGCGATGGAACTCTGGGATCGCACGCCTCCGACGCGAGATGCGCGAGCTCGAGCTGTACGTGGACCGCGCCAAAATGGCGCCGGTGCCCACATTCGAGCTGGAGGACACTGCGACTGCAGCACCGCCGGCACCCGCTGCGAAATCAACGAAAAGCGTCAACAACGACAACGACAACGACGACGACGACGACGACGAGGGCGGTGGCTTGTTTGGCATGCTCGAAGAGAGCGCACCTATGGCCGTGGCCGCACCGACCGTTGTCGCCCCCGTGCTTGCGCCGATCGACACCAACATTGGCGGCAAGTGGACGGGCAAGTCGCCGCGCGTGCAGCTGCAAGACTACTGCCGCAAGCAAAAGTGGCCTACACCTGCCTTCACCCAAGACAAGGCGGCTGGCAAATTCAGCTTCTCGGTCTCTGTGACGCCGAGCGCCAAAGCCAAGTCGAAGGCTGTCGCCAACGTCGTTTCGCTGCCGGGTACCTTGTACGCGACCATGGACGGTGCCAAAGATGCGGTGTCGACGCGCGCCCTCTACGAGCTCGCGCCCCATTTGCCGCTGCACCGGGGCTTCCCGCCCTTCTTCCGCGACATGTGGTACCGTACTTTTCCATTGCGCCTAGTAAATGAGTTAGTTGATGGCGGTGTTTAGGCTTGAATGGGAGCGAATCAAAAACGATGCCAAGGCAGCGACGCAGTCGGCGTCACGGTCGTCCAAAGACGCGATTGTCCAATCGCTCTTTCTTCTCTGCAAGGACGACGACACGGTCGACGTGTCGGCGGAGACGACTGTTCGCACCAAGCCGCCGCCGGTACCTGCCGCTGTCCTCGACGCGTGGGACGACGATGACGACGACGATGACGACGATACGGCAAGCGGTGCCGTCGCGGACGACTGGGAAGCGACAGTCGCTTCGCCGCGTGCGCCGGTGACACCCGTAGTCGATGAATGTCTCCAGGCGCAGTGGCGGGACCGTGTCCGTAGCGCCAAGTACCAGAGTTTTGTGGCCAGCCGCCATGCGCTGCCCATGGCCGCCTACCGAACACAGATCCGTGACGCACTCGCGTCACACTCGGTCGTCCTCATCTCGGGCGAGACGGGCTGTGGCAAAAGTACTCAAGTGCCCCACTATCTCCTCGATGACCTCCTCTCGGCCGGCCATGCGTCGGGCTCGATCATCTGCACGCAGCCGCGCCGCATCGCTGCGATCGGGGTCGCCGAGCGTGTCGCCAACGAGGTCGGCGAGGTTGTCGGCAAAGGCTACGTGGGGTATAGCATCCGCCTCGAGCAGCGCAAGAGCGCGCAGTGCAAGCTTCTCTTTTGCACGACGGGTATCTTGTTGCGGCAGCTGCAGTCCAACCCGACCCTCGACGGCGTCAGTCACGTCATCGTCGACGAGATCCACGAGCGCGACGTCCAAAGTGATGTGTTACTCGCGCTCCTCCGGCGCCTGCTGCGGCGCGGCGCGCAGCTCAAGATCGTCCTCATGAGTGCGACGCTCAACGCCGCTCAGTTCCAACGCTACTTTGACGACTGTCCGCTCCTACAAGTGCCCGGTCGGCTCTTCCCTGTCGATGTCAAGTATCTCGAAGACGTCTTTGAGGCCACGGGGCACATTGTCCACGACGGTGCGATCCTTTTGTTTTTTATGCACATAATAACTGTGGGGTTAGGGTCCAAGTACTGCCTTCCGGACGGGCATTCCACGCAGCAGTCGAAAGTCTCAGTGTCGAGCCGCGGCGGCAACGTCAACCAAGTGACGCTGTCGTGGTCGAGGCGTGACATAGCACCGACGTCATGGGCGGATGAATCGGACCACGACGCTAATGACGAAGACGGATACTCGGCGCGGACGCGCGAGATGCTGGCCAAGGTCGATGCGTCCGTCATCAACTACGAGCTCATTGAAGACCTTGTTGCGCATATTCTGTCGTCGCCCGACCACGACGGCGCGATTCTGGTGTTCTTGAGCGGCCGCGGCGAGATCCGCGCGCTCATTGAGCAGCTCGATGGCAACCGCGAGGTTGCCACCCGCTGTGTGCTTCTGCCATTGCATGCGTCGCTCTCGTCGGCCGAGCAACAGCGCATCTTTGAGTCGTACCCGCGCAAGACCAAGGTCATTGTGAGCACGAACCTCGCCGAAACGTCGCTGACCATCGATGACGTCACGGTTGTCATTGACGCGGGTCGCGTCAAGCAGATGCGTCATGACGTCAAGACGCAGACGTCGTCGCTCACGGAAGTGTGGATCGCCAAGGCCAACGCCAACGTACGTCCTCCAAACTCTCGTCGTCGAGTGACTTGAATTTTCTATGTTTGCATAGCAACGGGCGGGCCGCGCCGGCCGTGTCCGACCCGGGGTGTGCTACCGCCTGTACCCGAAAGCTACGTTCGAGTACGAGCTCCAGGCGCAGCCCGTGGCTGAGATCCACCGTGCGCCGCTCACGTCCCTTGCGCTGCAGCTGCACACGTTAGTCGGGTGTGACGCGCCGTCGTTTTGGGCCGACTTGCTCGAGTCGCCTGCCGAGCAAGCGATTCTGGATGCGACCAACGAGCTCTCGCAGCTAGGGGCCCTCACGCCGCAGGACACGCTCACCGCGTTGGGCGAGCACCTCGCCGCCTTGCCGCTCGACGTGCGCGTCGGGAAGCTGCTTCTCTTTGGCGCCATCTTTCAGTGTCCATCTCCGATCGCCATCATCGCAGCCATCCTTGAAACCAAGAGCCCGTTCGCGGTGCCGTTTGGGTCCGAGCGGGACGCCAAGGCCAAGCGTGCGCTGCTGGCAAGTGCGAGCCAGAGCGACCTCTTGACCGACTTGGCGGCCTACGACGCGTGGCAGCGGTCGACAGACCGAGCCGGGTTCTGCCGTCGCAACTACCTGCACCCGGCGGCCCTCGAAGAGATCCGGAAGCTCGCCGCGTCGTTCGAGCAGCTTCTTGTCGAGCTCCAGTTTTTGCCGCGCGACTATATGAAGCAGCGAGCGCGCTCGAATGGCTACGCCAACGACGAGGCGGTCGTCGCTGCTGTCGTGGCCTCGGGTTTGTACCCGAACGTGGTCGACGTGCAGGTGGATGCAAGCAGTGGCGTGGTCCGGTTTTGGGAACGGAAGAAGCAAGTGTATTTGCATCCGTCGAGCGTCAACCACGGCCGCAAGACGTTCTTGACGCCGTACCTTGGCTACCACCTCAAGCTCCAGACGTCGCGCGTCTACGTGCCAGTCTCGAGCAGCATCACGCCGTATGCGCTGGCCTTGTTTGGTGGCGCGGTCGACGTCGATGTCTTACAGCCCACGCCGGCGCTGGTCGTCGATGGGTGGCTCTCGATTCCGGCGAGTGCCCGCACTGCGATGCTCGTCCTTGAACTCCGAAAGTGTCTTGCCGACCTCCTCCAACGTACGACCTCCTCTCTTGTTTGCGACGGCGTACAAAGTACAGTGATGTCGTAGGCAAAATCGATGCCCCGGGGTGCGACGATGCGCTGGCCAAAGACGCGATCGAGGCCATGGCGCTGCTCTGGAAGAACGAGCTTGACCAAGTCCCGTCGTCTTCCTAAATGCTGATTGAAGCGCGTTTACGTATTGGTGCTCGTACGCCTTGTCGTTGATAACCAAGAACACATGGTGTTGATCGCATGGCTATCGCCGATGATCTACCACGGGTTGTCGGACCCACGACACTTTATGCTGTGGGCAGATGATAACAAAATGGCGGGTAGGATCTGGCAAGTAGATACCAAGGGATGCTTATGGAATGGCTGCATACAACCAGTCGGCGACTGCGGCTCTCTTAGCGTCATTCGAGTTCTTATTTGTGCGAGACGTCTACTGAGGGTCCTGTATGTTGTCATCTACTCGCTACACTGCGAGTCTTACCAAAGTGGCCGCCGGTCGACGCAGAGGTCCAAGAGAGCGGGGCAGGTGCACATCTACTGTATCTGACTGACGCATGCAGGCGTAGCGCTACGTCTGTCAAGACTCCGCGTTTTTGCTGATTTGATTTCAACGCGGACGCGTTTGATGGATTGATTGATTGATTGATTGATTGATTGAGTACTAATAGTGCTGCACCGTCCCTCGTGGAGAGTGGCACACTCCAACTCTCGAGCGTCGCGGCTAAATCCACCACCCTTAATGTATCCGGATATGACGTGGCAATTGCCAGTGCGATCCTGCACAATGGCTTCGGCCGAAGTCCACAGCTCGATGCTTCGCTGAGGCCAGAATCGAATCTCTCGCGTCGCCCAAGTATGAAGCTCGCCGACTTTGTCGTCAACGGACTCAAGCCCGACCGCCTCAAGTGGCTGCGCGGCGAGAGCACGGCCAATGGCGGCCGTCACGTCCTCTACTACATGCAAGCGTCGTTGCGCACGCGCTACAACTACGCCCTTCACGCCGCGATCAAGGCCGCCAACACCCTCCAGCAGCCACTGCACGTGCTCTTCACGGTCGACACGTCCGCCGAGCGCATGTCGGAACGTCACATGGCCTTTCTGCTCGAGAGCCTCAAGGACGTCCACGCCTCGCTCCAGTCGCAGAAAATTCCGTTCCATGCGGTGCACTGCGAGCGCGCCTCGAGCATGACGCCGGTTGAAGCCATCGCCTTTGCGAGCGCCAACGCGTCAGTCGTCGTCACCGATCACCCGTATCTGCGCCACGAACGGTGCCGCACGGAAGCGTTTGTGGCTGCCGTCAAGGTGCCGGTGCTGCAGGTCGAGGCCGACGTGATGATCCCCGTCACCACGATCAGCAACCATGAAGAGCACAACAACGGCACAATCCGACCCAAGATCAAGAAACTCATGCCAAACTACCTCCTTCCGCTGCCGCCATTGCGGTACCTCAAGCCGACGGTGCCCGACACTTGGTCGCCGCCGTTGACGCCGCTCGATCTCAGCGCGTCGGTCGAGAGCCTCTTGGCGGCAGCGCCCGACGTTGATGTGTCTGTCCCGCGCGTGTCGACGTACCTTGGTGGCGAAACGCAAGCGCAGGCAACGCTCGACGTGTTTCTTCGGGACAAGCTATTGGACTACGAGACCGAGCGCAACAAGCCCGATAAGGACGCGACGAGCAACCTGAGTCCGTATTTGCGCTACGGCAACATCTCGCCGGTCGACGTGGCCCTCCGTGTGCTCGCCACCGAGGGCCCAGAGCCGGCGATGACGCTGTCGCGGAACCACATGATCGACGAGATGGTCGTGCGGCGCGAACTCGCCGTCAACTTTGTGTGGTACAACCGACACGACTACGACTCGCTCGCGTGTTTACCGCCTGTCGCGGCCAACACACTCGCCAAGCACGCCAGCGACAAGCGCGATTACGTCTACTCGGCCGACCAGCTCGAGCGCGCCAAGACGCATGACGCGTACTGGAATGCGTGCCAGCTCGATATGATGGCCACGGGCAAGGTACCACATATCTGGGATCTTTTCCAAAACCACATCTGACATCTGGTCATCTAGATGCAAGGCTATTTGCGCCAGTACTGGGGCAAAAAGATCCTCGAGTGGAGTGCGACGCCGGAAGAAGGCCATGCGTTCGCCGTCGTCCAGAACGCCAAGTACAACCTCGACGGCTACGACCCGAACGGCTACGCCGGCGTCGCCTGGTCCTTTGGGTAGAGACCGTTATCGCGCTCGATTCGACAAGCTGAGTGTTTGCTGCGTAGGAAGCACGATCGGGTCTTCTCTGAGCGGCCAGTATACGGCACGGTGCGCTACATGGGCGCGCGCCGCCTCAATGATATCTTTGACATGCCCGCGTACATTGCGCTCGTCAAGCAGCGCTGCGCCGACGCCAAGCTCCCGCATGTGCTTTTGCAGTCGCCGGCCAATGCCAAGCGGTCGAGCGCCTCGAACAAAGGACCGCGCCACGACGCGCCGCCTCCGACGCCGACTGAGCACAAGAAGCGCCGGCCTCGGTCCCGCAAGAAGAAGACGCAGACGCCGCCGTCGGGCACGGCCGCATAAGAATACGTAATGTCATCTTATAATGGACTTTTGTGGTCCATTGCACTCGCGATGATGTACCCCGGTGTACAGATCTGGCAAGAGCGATATCTCGTGCTGTAGACCTCACACGATGACGGGACGTAGCGCTTTGAACTCTCCAAAGCGTCTTCTATCAATGTGCCAAGTTGCAGCGAGTTGGATTTTGAACGCGATTTGGTCGATCGCAAGTCCTG